ATCTCCTTGCTGCGGCTGGAAGAGGTGGATGAGGTGGGGAGGGGAAGGATGGACACCTGTCATGCACACTTATGAGGCGCCTCAAAAGAGGGGGATGAGGTGGGGAGGAGAAGGATGGATACCTGTCATGCACACTCACACACAAATACACATACACAGACACACATCCTTCTTTTCCCCTTTTCCTTGCCCCTCCTCACCGTATCTTGGTGGTGCGCAAGTCTGCATCCGCCTCAACTCTCGCTTGCTGTCATTGCAGGTATATATGTATATATATATATATATATATATATATAAAAACAATAAACGCCCATTCCATCCCTTCCCACCTTCTCCTTTCTTACTTTCCCTCCTCACCGTATCTTGGTGGTGCGCTGGTCTGCATCTGCTTCAAGATTCGCTCTCATTAAAAAATCCCTCCCCCCTCTCCCCCCTCCCCATTCCTCCTGCCCACCTCCTTTCCCCGGCATATTCCACCTCCTCACCGTAACTTGGTGGTGCGCAAGTCTGCATCTGCTTCACGACTCCCCCTCATCAGAATTCGTTTCCTTCCCTCCCCCTCCCCCCCTTGTTTTTCCAGCGCCTTCCACCTTCTCACCGCATCTTGGTGGTGCGCTGGTCTGCATCTGCTTCAAGATTCGCTCTCCTCGTAATTCCTTCCTTCAGCCTCCCAACCGTCTATACCCATCCCCTTTCCCCTTCTCACCGTATCTTGGTGGTGCGCTGGTCTGCATCTGCTTCAAGATTCGCTCGCTTCTCCCGAAGCTCTTCTTGCCGCCGCACGAGCTTGCTGATCCTTGTCTGATACTCCTTCACCTGCAGTGGAGCAGAGAGAAGGGTGCACCAGCCGGCGGGGTACATAGGTGTGACAGCAGCAAACACGTGACAAGACTACGTGCCAGTAAAAGTCGGTGAACACATGATAACTCAGAATTCGGTGCATGTCATATCACCCCTGCACACCTTACCCACAAGCGCATTAATCTCCAGCTTGTGCTCCTTCTGCTCCTCCCCTGAGTCGAGTTTTGAGTCGACTCAAACGCCGCTCCTGAGTCGAGTTTTGAGTCGACTCAAACGCCGCTCCTGAGTCGAGTTTTGAGTCGACTAAAAACTCGACATATCACCCCTGCACACCTTACCCACAAGCGCACTAATCTTCACCTTGTGCTCGCTCTGCTGCTCCCCTGAGTTGAACGCATCAAAACAGACCTACTCTCATGCAGTTATCGTGTACGCGTCATGGTCATGGCGTGCATACCATGTTGACTTTTGAGTCGACTCAAAAGTCAACTCTTGTGCGCGCGTCATGGTCGTGGCGTGCATACCATCCAGGAGTGCGTCATGGTCGTGGTCATGGTGTGAGCTATTGATTGCACTCGGTTTGCGGTCCATGGCTAATCTCCCACACACCTTTTCCATGAGCTCGTTGATCTCTACCTCCAGCTCGACCATCTGCTCCTTCACTTCACCTCTCGCTACGTGTATGAAAATTTGCTTTGAGACGTCTCAAAACAAATCTTCATACACATTTCCACGAGAGTGCTGATCTCCACTTCCTGCTCAATCTTTTGCTCCTTCACCTCTCGCTGCTCCCCCCTCCGAATCCCTCTGGAATTACTGACTGGATTGCATATATAGTCTGTGAATGACATCTAAACCCACGCACACCTTTTCCACGAGGGCGTTGATCTCCGCCTCCTGCTCGCCCTTCTGCTCCTTCGCCTCATCTACCCTCGCTGAGTCTTCTTCCAAGTCCCTCTGGAGCTCCCCCACTCTCTCCCTCATCTCCGACACCACCTGCTGCGAGCCTGCAAGGGAGAGGCAAAAGGGGTGACACCAACACACAGGGCACGGTCATTCCTCTAGTCTTATTGCTGCCACGGATGAATTGCATCCATCCTCCTCCAAGTCCCGCTGCAGCTCCCCCACTCTCTCCCTCACTGCGACACCACCTGCTGCGAGCCTGAAAAGGAGAGGCAAGAGGGGGTTGCAACACACAGGGAACAAAACGCAAGGGACGGTCACTCCTCCGTTATTATTGCTGTCACGGATGGATTCCATCCTCCTCCAAGTCCCTCTGCAGCTCCCCCACTCTTTCCCTCATCTCCGACACCACCTGCTGCGAGCCTGCGAGGGAGAGGCGAAACAGGGGTGCATCAGGCATAGGAACACCAGGTGCATCAGGCATAGTAACACCAGTTGCTCCATGGTGCTCCAATTCTCCGCCAAACGGGTCAACATCACCACGGATTCGCACAAGTTCGCACGAAACCATACGAAATTTTCAAAGAACGACTGCACGGCGAATTCATACGTACGGTCGATCAGGCTGGCCATGGCTCTTTCCCTCTCAGCGCAGACACCCACGAGCCTCTTGGTAGCTTCCGCTGCTCGTCGGATCTTCGCTTCCTCCTCCATGTTGCTCCATTTCTCCGTCAACCGGGTCAGAATCGCCACGGATTTGCAGAAAACCTCACACATTCGTACACGTCCTTTCGAGATTTCTAAAGAATGACTGCAAGGGGAATTGTGGTACGTACGGTCGATCAGGCTGGCCATGGCTCTTTCCCTCTCAGCGCAGACACCCACGAGCCTCTTGGTAGCTTCAGTTGCTCGTCGAATCTTCGCTTCCTCTTCCTCCATGTTGCTCCATTTCTCCGTCAAACGCGTAAGGATCGCCACGGATTGCTCGTACAATTCCGCCGGTGGAGATGCGGCGGATGACGTGGATGTCGACATGTATGCTGACGTGGCTTTGAAAGTCTGGTACTTCAAGGGTGGCGCTAGACGGGATGACCGAAGCAAGACGTGCTGTGCTGTACAGGAAGTACGAGCATGCGATTCTAGATTTTGACTCAAAACACCTCTGTTGTACAGGGAATACGTGCACGCGAGCGTAAAACCGAGTGACTACCGAGTTCTGAGTACAAATCACCGCCGACTAGAACGAGTTTCGCTGCTTACTTGCTTTCAGACAAGGTGGCGCGTAGAAGCACACTGTCGCTACTTAGCTAGCGGAAGATAAAGATCGACGAACACTGAAAAAGTCCTTCATAGTTCAAGAAATCGACGAGGTCAGTAACAGACCAATCTAGACAAAAATGAGGAAGGAGCTAAGAATGTGTTGATGCTGGAGCAAAGAGCTGGAATGAGGGAAGGGGAATGGGAGAGGAGCAGCTGAGAGAACTAGATTTGTGAAGACCAAGACTCGAAAACGGGTCGCTTGGCCTGGTATGGAGGTTTCAAAAGTGTGTGTCAGAGCAGATGACCTGGTTCGAAGTTTCAACCAGGAAATCGGGAATAATCGGCTGCCCGTAGGCATTGCGTTCATATTTGTGAAGTCCACAGATTGGTTATCTTGTGATGATGCTGGAATATAGTTTCTGCAAATGTCGCAACCTTTATTTGTGAAAAGTGGGAGTGGAGAAAGATGTGGTAATGAGAATTCGCCTGCAAATGAGCAAGAAAAACAGGGTGTGTACACTCCGAGGCACAAGCAATTGGAGTCCCGAACTGTCAAGCTCACCAACCCAAATTTGTACTGTTGGTCCTAAATTCCCAATGTGGCGTTTTGGCGGGAAACCTAGGGACAACCGCCGCAATGGCGTCTGTGATGCGCTTTCATCCTGATTGTGCTTTAGAGTATACTTGAACAGGCAGAGTTGAATCACGAGGGGGAGGGGGTGTTACAGCGGGCTAAGCAGAGATTCCAAAAAGAGTTTCATTGGAGCAACTACGGCGTGTGATACATCATCCGTTTTACGCGGAGACTTTCGACACCATGTCACCGCTCTTCCATTATTCATTCATCCTATGTCTCCTCGTGCTCGTCTCGCACAACATCTGGCACCGCCGGTCGCTCTCGTACCTCCCCAATCCCACCCTTCCCTCGATAATACCGACCCCGTTTAAGTCACTCTTCCCGTCAGTCTCGCTCAATGGAATCACATTTCTCGCCAAGGAGTGTCAGAGTCTCACCCAGCTACCCTACCAACCCGCGAACAACCCTCAAGGTAACCCTGATTATCCAGTCACTGTCGTCTGCAACCCCGAATAGAGTCACAATTTTCGCCAAGGAGTGCCAGAATCTCACCCAGCTACCCTACCAACCCGCGATCAATCCTCAAGATAACCCTATCTATCCTGCATTACAGTCACTATCGTCCGTATCCTTCAATGGAATCACATTTCCTTGACGAGTCTCACCCAGCTACTGTACCAGCCCGAAAATAACCCTTCAACGTAACCCTAATAACTCTCAGAATATTCCTAATAACCCTCCGGGTGACACTGAACGTACGGCTTGAGAATCATTCCTGTCATCAATGTCTCTGAGTGGAATTAGCTTTTGAGTCTACTCAAAAGCTGAACGTACGGCTTGAGAATCATTCCTGTCATCAATGTCTCTGAGTGGAATTAGCATTTGAGTCTACTCAAAAGCTGAACGTACGGCTTGAGAATCATTCCTGTCATCAATGTCTCTGAGTGGAATTAGCTTTTGAGTCTACTCAAAAGCTGAACGTACGGCTTGAGAATCATTCCTGTCATCAATGTCTCTGAGTGGAATTAGCTTTTGAGTCGACTCAAAAGCTGAACGTACGGCTTGAGAATCATTCCTGTCATCAATGTCTCTGAGTGGAATTAGCTTTTGAGTCGACTCAAAAGCTGAACGTACGGCTTGAGAATCATTCCTGTCATCAATGTCTCTGAGTGGAATTAGCTTTTGAGTCGACTCAAAAGCTGAACGTACGGCTTGAGAATCATTCCTGTCATCAATGTCTCTGAGTGGAATTAGCTTTTGAGTCGACTCAAAAGCTGAACGTACGGCTTGAGAATCATTCCTGTCATCAATGTCTCTGAGTGGAATTAGCTTTTGAGTCGACTCAAAAGCTGAACGTACGGCTTGAGAATCATTCCTGTCATCAATGTCTCTGAGTGGAATTAGCTTTTGAGTCGACTCAAAAGCTGAACGTACGGCTTGAGAATCATTCCTGTCATCAATGTCTCTGAGTGGAGTTAGAGCCCTGGGTAAGCACCCCTTTTGAGTCGACTCAAAAGATAAGCACCCCACACGGCATGCCAACCTTCATCTTCGCCTCATCCCACCGCCTGCACGCGTCTGCCTTTGCAGTCAGTTCAGAATACCACCTCACTCCCCTGTCCCCCCTCATCGGTGCCCCCACCTCCCTTTCCTCCGTCCCCATCCCCTGCAGCCCTCTTCGCCCCACACAGCATGCCAACGTTCATCCTCGCCTTGTCCCACCGCCTGCACGCGTCCGCCTTTGCAGTCGTGGGGCTGGGCACGTGGGAAGCTATCTCCCTTCTCCACCCATCGTCGAAACCCCCATCTTTTTTCCCCCTTCCTTTCCCCCAGCCCTCTTCACCCGGCACGGCATGCCAACGCTCATCTTCGCCCCGTCCCACCGCCTGCATGTGTCGATGTGTCGCCCAGTCAGCTTAAAATACCACCTCCTTCCCCTTTCTCCCCCCTCTCTTCCCCAGCCCTCTTCGCTCCACACGGCATGCCAACGTTCATCTTCGCCTCGTCCCACCGCCTCCACGCATCCGCCTTTGCAGTCGTGGGGCTGGGCGCGCGGGCAGGGCGGTACCTGTGGGGGAGCAGGGAGGAGACGTGCCTGTGGATCTCCCTTGAAGGACCGAGGGCTATTATGGTAAGCACTGGAGGGTCAATTCATCCCTCCGCACCGCACTACACCGCACCCCACCGGAAGGGTGCCTGGTTGCTGTGCTGGGCGCGCGGGCAGGGAGGTACCTGCGGGGGAGCAGAGAGGAGACGTGCCTGTGGATCTCCCTTGAAGGACCCCGGGCTATTCCGGTCCGCACTGGAGGGGAGGGAAGGGTCAATCCATTTATCCATCCATGCGCACCGCACCGCACCGCACTGGACAGCACGGCTGCCTGGTTGCTGCGCTGAGCGCACGGGCAGGGAGGTACCTGTGGGGGAGCAGGGAGGAGACGTGCTTCTGGATCTCCCTTGAAGGTCTCAGGGCTATTCCGGTGAGGACTAAAGCATCCTTCCATCCACACCGCACTGCACCAAACCGCACCACACCGCACCACATGGCTGCCGGGTTGCTGCGCTGGGTTCACGGGCGGGCAGGGAGGTACCTGTGGGGGAGCAGGGAGGAGACGTGCCTGTGGATCTCCCTTGAGGGACCCAGGGCTATTCTGGAACGGACACGTGGCAGGATCCTATTGAATGGAGAGTCAATGACACGTGCGCACGTTCCTACTCGCTGGAGGTACCTGTGGGGGAGCGAGCAAGGAGGAGACGTGCCTCTGAATCTCCCTGGAGGGACCCAAGGCTATTCCGATGGGCACTGGAGGGGAGGGGAGGGTAAGTCCACCCATCCAACCATCCATTCGCTCCTATTGGCTCCTGTTTTCGCCCTCCCTGCCCTCCCTTTTCGCCCGCCTCCCTTGTTTTCTAAGCACAGGTAACTCTGGTGCCCCCAACTTTGTATGAGACGGTGATAGTTGTCGACTTATGAGACGTCTCAAAAGTTGTTTTCTAAGCACAGGTAACTCTGGTGCCCCCAACTTTGTATGAGACGGTGATAGTTGTCGACTTATGAGACATCTCAAAAGTTGTTTTCTAGGCACAGGTAACTCTGGTGCCCCCAACTTTGTATGAGACGGTGATAATTGTCCTTCCCGCCTCGCCAACACTCCCCCTTGCACAACCCCACCACCTCCTCTTCTCCCCACCATCCCTTCCCTCGTTGTTATCCCAGGGAACGTTGGCCTGTTATTTTCCGGAGGATACCAATTGACTCAAGGCGAACGGGTTACCACCTTGGAAACTCACTGGCCTTGTTCCCCCAACTTCTGATCCCTGCCTCCTCCTCCCTCGCTGTTCATTGTCCCAGGGAACGTTGGTCTATTATTTTCCAGAGGATACGAATGGACTTAAGGTGAACGGGTTACCACCTAGGGACCCCAGCAGAGTGTCACTGTACGAGACTGTGATTATACAGTGCACGCTGAATGCTCCCACTCCTGCTGATTCTGGTGAGTGGCACTTCCCCGGTCATTGAAGCAGCAGGCCTTATGGGTGAGCGGGTTACCGTCTAGGGACCGCAGCAGAGTGTCGCTGTATGAGACTATGATTATACAGTGCACTCTGTCTGCTCCCACTCCTGCTGATTCTGGTGAGTGGCACTTCCCCGGTCATTGAAGCAGCAGGCCTTATGGGTGAGCGGGTTACCGTCTAGGGACCGCAGCAGAGTGTCGCTGTATGAGACTGTGATTATACAGTGCACTCTGTCTGCTCCCACTCCTGCTGATTCTGGTGAGTGGCACTTCCCCGGTCATTGAAGCAGCAGGCCTTATGGGTGAGCGGGTTACCGTCTACAAACCCCAGCAGAGTGTCACTGTACGAGACTGTGATTATACAGTGCACTCTGTCTGCTCCCACTCCTGCTGATTCTGGTGAGTGGCACTTCCCCGGTCATTGAAGCAGTAGGCCTTATAGGTGAGCGGGTTACCGTCTAGGGACCGCAGCAGAGTGTCGCTGTATGAGACTGTGATTATACAGTGCACTCTGTCTGCTCCCACTCCTGCTGATTCTGGTGAGTGGCACTTCCCCGGTCATTGAAGCAGCAGGCCTTATGGGTGAGCGGGTTACCGTCTACAAACCCCAGCAGAGTGTCACTGTACGAGACTGTGATTATACAGTGCACTCTGTCTGCTCCCACTCCTGCTGATTCTGGTGAGTGGCACTTCCCCGGTCATTGAAGCAGCAGGCCTTATGGGTGAGCGGGTTACCATCTAGGGACCGCAGCAGAGTGTGGCTGTATGAGACTGTGATTATACAGTGCACTCTGTCTGCTCCCACTCCTGCTGATTCTGGTGAGTGGCACTTCCCCGGTCATTGAAGCAGCAGGCCTTATGGGTGAGCGGGTTACCGTCTACAAACCCCAGCAGAGTGTCACTGTACGAGACTGTGATTATACAGTGCACTCTGTCTGCTCCCACTCCTGCTGATTCTGGTGAGTGGCACTTCCCCGGTCATTGAAGCAGCAGGCCTTATGGGTGAGCGGGTTACCGTCTAGGGACCGCAGCAGAGTGTCGCTGTATGAGACTGTGATTATACAGTGCACTCTGTCTGCTCCCACTCCTGCTGATTCTGGTGAGTGGCACTTCCCCGGTCATTGAAGCAACAGGCCTTATGGGTGAGCGGGTTACCGTCTACAAACCCCAGCAGAGTGGCACTGTACGAGACTGTGATTATACAGTGTACGCTGTCTGCTCTCCCACTTCCAGGACAAGCTGAAATCGGCTGTTCTATGCCTCATACATTAACGTTCATTTCTACTTATTGGCTGCTGCTGAACCGCCTCTCTATGTATTGTCCAGCTGATATTCCCCTCAGAATTTTCCCAGCTGTTTTCTTCGTCAGAAGCTTCCCAGCTGTTTTCTTCCTCAGAAACTTCCCAGCTGTTTTCTTTTCAGAAGCTTCCCAGCTGTTTTCTCCCTCAGAAGCTTCCCAGCTGTTTTCTTCCTCAGAAGCTTCCCAGCTGTTTTCTTCCTCAGAAGCTTCCCAGCTGTTTTCTTCTTCAGAAGCTTCCCAGCTGTTTTCTCCCTCAGAAGCTTACCAGCTGTATTCTTCCTCAGAAGCTTCCCAGCTGTTTTCTTCCTCAGAAGCTTCCCAGCTGTTTTCTTCTTCAGAAGCTTCCCAGCTGTTTTCTCCCTCAGAAGCTTCCCAGCTGTTTTCTTCCTCAGAAGCTTCCCAGCTGTTTTCTTCCTCAGAAGCTTCCCAGCTGTTTTCTTCCTCAGAAGCTTCCCAGCTGTTTTCTTCCTCAGAAGCTTCCACCTGTCCTCTGTTGCAATCTCCTGGCAGCTGGGACACTCTTTGCCACTATACACGGCGACGAGGTGCTTATAAGGAGGGAGAATCTTCCGAAAAAGGTCTCCGGTTCAAATCGTACTTCTGGTTCGGACGGCCTTCTGGTTCTTGACCCTCCCACGCCGCTCCCCCGCTGGCTCACTGTGTGCACTCAACTCATCACCCAACCGGTGAGTTCACATACAGTGCAGTAATGTAAGGTACAGGAGGTAACGCGATATAATGTGGGCTGTGCATTTACAGTGCAGTTATGTGCTCTGCTGCTGTATGCTGCTATGCGACTTTTTCCTCTGATGATCTTTTGGTTCTTGACCCACCCACTCCTCTCCCTCGCTGGCTAACGGTCTGCACTCAACTCATCACCCAACCGGTGAGTTCTCTGCTACGGGATACAGTGCGGTGCAGTGTTGCCCAGTGTGGTAATGTGCTTTGCTGTGAGCTACTATGCGATTATGTGTTCTGATAATGTCCTTGTCGTTCTTGACCCCCCCACGCCACTGCCCCGCTGGTTGACAGCTTCGTGAAATGAGAGTGTTTTTGAGACGTCTCAAAAACATGCCACTGCCCCGCTGGTTGACAGCTTCCTCTTGTATGATGGGGAAGGAGTGGACGAGTCTGTCCCTTGTTGACTTGCTGTATGTATTTCTCTCCCTCCATGCTTCCCCATCCTTCCCTGTCACCGCATCAGGTGCGCCCAGAGAGAGTGTTGGAGCAGATTCAGCTCTTCGCATACTGTGGCGCAGACTGCTTCCTTCTGTATGGCGGGGGAGGCGTTGGGGTGGACGGGCTTGTCTCTTGCTGACTTGACTTGCTGTATGTATGTGCCTTCTTCCATGCCCATCAGGTGTGGCCAGAGCGAGTGTTGGAGCAGATCCAGCTCTTCACTTATTACGGTGCCGACAGCTTTCTTGTGAACGATGGGGGAGGCGTGGGAGTGGACGAGCTGCTTCCTTGAGGTGACTTTTGAGTCGACTCAAAAGTCACCTAGCTGCTTCCTTGTTAGCGTTCTCATTTACACAGGCTTGTTTGTTTTGCGTCGCTCCTTGCATACCCGACTCCCACCATCAGGTGCGGCCAGAGCGAGTGCTGGAGCAGATTCAGCTCTTCACTTATTACGGTGCCGACAGCTTTCTTGTGAACGATGGGGGAGGCGTGGGAGTGGACGAGCTGCTTCCTTGAGGTGACTTTTGAGTCGACTCAAAAGTCACCTAGCTGCTTCCTTGTTAGCGTTCTCATTTACACAGGCTTGTTTGTTTTGCGTCGCTCCTTGCATACCCTACTCCCACCATCAGGTGCGGCCAGAGCGAGTGCTGGAGCAGATTCAGCTCTTCACTTATTACGGTGCCGATAGCTTTCTTGTATACGACGGGGGAGGAGTGGACGAGCTTCTAAGGCAGGCGCTAAGGCCGTACGTCACTGCAGGGATGGTCGAAATCGTACCTCTTATGGGCTTGTCACAGTAAGTGGGAAGGGAGAAGGGAGGGAATGGAGAGAACGAAGCCGACAGCTTTCTCGTGTACGACGGGGGAGGAGTGGACGAGCTGCTGAGGCAGGCTTGAAGGCCGTATGTCACTGCAGGGATGGTCCAGATCTTGCCTCTCATGGGCTTGTCACAGTAAGTGAAAAAATGGACGATTGCTTAACGCACAACACTATGAGCCCTTTCTCTATCCTTTCTCTAAGGCTCGTCTACTAAAACGAGACTTCGTTTTGTTCGCCCTTCTTCCTTCATTCTTTCCTGAAGGCTCAAAAACCAGCTCTAAGGCTCGTCTACTAAAACGAGACTTCGTTTTGTGCCTTTCATATGAATGAGCCCTTCTTCATTCATTCATTCATTCTTATGAGCCATCTCTCACGATGCTTATGTGCTCTTCCTCTCTGTCCTTTGTTTTTGTAATTTCTCCATCCTTTTGTTCTCTTCCTCTGGTCGCTCTCTCTCTGCTATCGCACTCTCACCAATTCCTTCCATCCAACGCAGCTGACTTTGAGTCGACTCAGAAGTCAAGTCACCAGCCCATTTCTCCCTCCCCCATGTGCCCTTCTTCCGGTCCCTCTGTCTCTGCTATCTCCCTTTACTACAGCCTCTCAGCACAGCTGGACGTGCTTGTAACGAGCGACTGCCTCTACCGCACACGCTTTACGTCCCGGATGTCTTCCTTGTATTTCCCCCCTTTCTGTCTGTCTGTTCCATCCCACCTTCCCTACAGCCTCTCAGCACAGCTGGATGTGCTTGTAACAAACGACTGCCTCTACCGCACGCGCTTCACCTCCCGCTGGGCCACCTTCGTGACATTAGAAGAACTACCCTTTGTCTTCAACGGCCGCCTGTCGCTGCGCATGGCTCTGGAAGACAACGAGGACGCACCGTGGCTGTCAGTGGGGTCGTACGAGTGGAGCATCAAGCTGTGTGCCCCCCCTGCTGGTACTGCTAATGATTCTGCTGCTTCTGCTGCAGCTGGTGAGTTACGCTGAGGTGAAAGCATGTGTGCCACCTCCCCTCTCCCTGTGGTAGAAGAGCTCCCATGTGTGCTAATATCAACGGCCGCCTCTCGCTGCGCATGGCACTGGAAGACAACGAGGACGCACCGTGGCTGTCAGTGGGGTCGTACGAGTGGAGCATCAAGCTGTGTGCCCCCCCTGCTGGTACCGCTAATGATTCTGCTGCTTCTGCTGCAGCTGCTGCTGGTGAGTAGACGCTGAGGCGAATCCATTCTTGGGCTTTCCAAGCTTTCCAATCTCCCACCCACTCGCTGGAAGAGCTCCTGTTTGTCTTCAACGGCAGCCTCTCACTGCGCATTTCACTAGAAGTCAACAAGGGCGCCCCGTGGCTGTCAGTGGGGTCGTTCGAGTGGAACATCAAGCTGTGCTGCTGCTGCTGCTGCTGCTGCTGCTGCTGATGAGTAGGCGCTGTAGTGACAGCATGCAACCACTCTCCCACCTCCCTTGGGCTGGAAGAACTCTTGTTTGTCTTCGAATTAATGGATGCATGTCGCTGCACCACCACCGCACCACCCACCTTCTGGTGCTGATTCGGCTGGTGCTGGTGCTGTTGGTGAGAGTAGACTACTTTTGAGACGCCTCAAAAGACGCTGAGGTGACTGCATGCATCAACTCTCCAATCTCCCTTTGGTTGGAAGAGCTCTCGTTGGTATTCAATTCAATGGATGCATGTCGCTGCACCATCACCGCACCACCCCCACCTGCTCCCACGCCACCACTGCCTAGGCACTGCTGGTTACTTTTCAACCCCAGGCGCGTGGAGGTGTTCCAACCGCACACAACCCCTTTGAAAACCCTCTTAAACCGCTTGGAAACCCCTCCTGAACCCCTTTCTGAATCCCCAGTACCGCTCTGAACCCATTGATACCACTCATAATACCTCTGCCTCCTTCTCCCTATTCCCCACCCCAGTTGCAGGGGGGGAGTGGCTGGCACAGCAGATGGTGTATCGCATGCCCACCCCCACCTGCTCCCACGCCACCATCACCACAGTACCGCTCTGAACCCACTGATACCACTCTTAACACCCCTACCTTATCTCCCTTTCCCCCACCCCAGTTGCAGGAGAGGAGTGGCTGGCACAGCAGATGGTGTGTCGCATGCCCACCCCCACCTGCTCCCACGCCACCACCACCACAGTACTGCTCTGTCTTCTCTGATACCACTGATACATTCTTCCCTACCCATTTCGCCAATCCCCAGTTGCAGGAGAGGAGTGGCTGGCACAGCAGATGGTGTATCGCATGCCCACCTCCACCTGCTCCCACGCCACCACCACCAAAGAAGCACCGCTCTGAACCCATTGATACCACTCATAATTCCTCTGGCTCCTTCTCCCTATCCCCCAACCCAGTTGCAGGAGAGGAGTGGCTGGCACAGCAGATGGTGTATCGCATGCCAACCCCCACCTGCTCCCACGCCACCACCAACGCCTCAGCTATAGACCACTGCGTGGGCACCGCTGGTTACCGCCGGTTGCTCTTCAACCCCAGGCGCGTGGACGTGTTACAGCCGCACGCTGCTGTTAAGCCGGCGGATGAAGGCGTGAATATCTCTGCAAGGAAAATGAATTATAATCGATATAAGGTGAGTTGGATTGGGTGCATGGAGTGTTACATGAGTCAATCCGTGTGTGTAAATTTCACCTACATTAGAAGGAGTTTATTATTTCTTTTGTTCTTCATTCCCTGTCCTTGGGTTTTTGCATGAACTTAGGAGGAAAGCCCAACCCTTCCCATTTACCTTAAAAAATACTTGCGCACTAGTGTACGTACAATATATGCTACAAATGTACATGCCATGCTCTTTACCGACTCAATTTTTGGCAGGGGATAACCACGCCGGCTGCGTTGGTGTGTGATCGCATCGTTCCACGTGTCTTGGACCCAGAAGGCTTCATTCCAAACCCGGAGCAAAAAATATTCCTGATAAGAGACCTGATTACCAGTGGACGAGCCTCTGGTGCAATTTCTTTGCTTGAAGGATAGTTCACAGAATTGTGCAGCACAACGCACTAAAAGATCTTGAGTGGGGAGTGTACGGGGAAGGGGAAGGGGAATGACGGGGGAGGTAGGGGCTTGAAAATATGGGTATGGAAATGGGAAATAAGGCGTTCAAGTTCGATTATAGATTGTCTTAATTTATTGTTTTCGTTGGAGTTGTGCTTGCTGTGTTGAAATTTATTTGTCCAACAACAATGAACCTGTCTTCCATGTATGCACCGGTAGTAGTCCTCCGATATGACTGCCAGTATTTTTTTACGTGTAGCGCGTCACGAGATCCCTCCATATCGCGTGTAACATCCTGCTTGACTGAATCCGTCTCAGCGAGATGCTTCACGTTTGATAACGGTCAATAAAGTGTATAGACTGGCTGGGTAGGATATTGAGGAATACCAGCGTTTTGGAACATGCTCAGAGATCGAAGGGGATTCAGAAGCGCACACAATCACAACTGGTGAGGCCAGTCTCCATAATTTCTCAGCAGATTTTCACAAGTCTAGCTCAGACAGACTATTAGTCCGTCCTCTGTGGAGAAAGCTGCATATGCCACAAGCGCTCTGACGAATTCCGCAAATTCGCCAGTCTAGATCCGACGGCCGTCGTTTGTCAGGCTTCGCGCTTGGAGATTCGCAAACCCAGATCGGACGGCGGTCGTTTGCCGGATTTAGATCATGGAGCGGCTGCAGCGGATATTCCAGAGCGCGGGGGGAGGCATGGGGCCCCAGCCGGACGCTCCGATGGTCGACACGTCGGAGCAGGTGTACATCTCGTCGCTCGCTCTGTTGAAGATGCTTAAACACGGTGCGTGCATTAGGATGATGTTGCGTTTAGATTATAACGAGTATAGACGTGCTGATGGTCGACGCGTCGGAGCAAGTGTACATCTCATCGCTCCCTCTGTTGAAGATGCTTAAACACGGTGCGTAATTAAGCGCGGTAGTGCGTCAGATTAGTAGTCAAGACGTTCGCATGGTGGACACGTCGGAGCAGGTTTACATCTCGTCGCTCGCGCTACCGAAGATGCTTAAACACGGTGGTGCGTCAGATTAGTAGCGATTAAAGACGTTCACGTAGTTGAGACGTCCGAGCTTGGTCTATGAACACGGTCCGTGCTACGCACTATAATGGGCTCACTCTTGAGAATTCTCAAAAGTTACCCTAATTTAGCTACGCACTGTGGTCCATCGGATCAGCAGCGATTAAGGACGTTCCCGTGATGGCATGTCGGAGCAGGTGTGCACATCGTCGCGCTCTCTCGTAGAGATGCGTAAACCGTGTGTTATCGGATTCTCAAATCTGCGTTTCACATTTTCAATTTGGCTGTGTCCAATTCTCGAACCCGATCTGTCAGTTACTCAAATCAGATGTGTCAGGCTTTTGTTCAGGTCTCGAAATCGTAGATCATAACCAATGCCTCTACACGCACGCACTGTATCCCCGCGCCCCATCCACCTTGCGGGTCGAGCGGGAGTGCCCATGATGAAGGTGATGGGTCTCATGCTGGGTGAGTTCGTGGATTGCTACACAGTCCGGGCGGTTGATCTGTTCGCCATGCATGCCTCAGGGCGTGCGGCAGTGCCCATGGAAGTCATGGGTTTGATGCTGGGCGAGTTCGTGGATGACTACACTGTCCGAGTGGTTGATGTTTTCGCCATGCCTCAGAGCAGTTTCTTTCCCTTCCACACGTGCTGTCCCTTCCTTCCCTCCCTTCTCTCAGGTCGAGCGGGAGTGCCCATGGAAGTCATGGGTTTGATGCTGGCCGAGTTCGTGGATGACTACACTGTCCGAGTGGTTGATGTTTTCGCCATGCCTCAGAGCAGTTTCTTTCCCTTCCACACGTGCTGTCCCTTCCTTCCTTCCCTTCTCTCAGGTCGAGCGGGAGTGCCCATGGAAGTCATGGGTTTGATGCTGGGCGAGTTCGTGGATGACTACACAGTCCGGGTGTTTGATGTTTTGTTCGCCATGCCTCATGCATCAAAGCGTGCTTATTCCCCCCCACACATTGCCGGATTCCCGCTTGCTCATCCACCTTGCACGGCGTGCGGGAGTGCCCATGGAGGTCATGGGTCTGATGCTGGGCGAATTTTTAGCCGACTACACCGTGCGGGTGGTTGATGTGTTCGCCATGCCTCATCTGCCTCAAAGCTGTGTGTCGCTCCCTTGTGTTCTCTCCTTGTCCCGTCCACCTTGCACGGCGTGCGGGAGGTAGTGCCCATGGAGGTCATGGGTCTGATGCTGGGCGAGTTCGTGGATGACTACACTGTCCGGGTGTGCTTTTGAGTCGACTCAAAAGCGGATGACTACACCGTGCGGGTGGTTGACGTCTTCGCCATGCCTCGTGCCTCATATTGTCTCTCCTTTTCTCTCCTCCTACCGCCAGGTCGAGCGGGAGTGCCCATGGAGGTGATGGGTCTCATGCTGGGCGAGTTTGTGGACGACTACACTGTCCGGGTGGTGGATGTGTTCGCCATGCCTCAGAGCGGCTTTGTTCCCTTGTGCTCTCTCCTTGCCCCACCCACCTTGTCAGGTCGAGCGGGAGTGCCCATGGAGGTCATGGGTCTGATGCTGGGCGAGTTTGTGGACGACTATACTGTCCGGGTGGTTGATGTGTTCGCCATGCCTCAGAGCGGCACGGGCGTGAGCGTCGAGGCGGTGGACCCAGTTTTTCAAACTAAGATGCTCGACATGCTCAAGCAGACGGGCAGGTGAGAAGAGCAGACGGGCAGGTGAGAAGAGCAGACGGGCAGGTGAGAAGAGCAGATGGGCAGGTGAGAAGAGCAGACGGGCAGGTGAGAAGAGCAGACGGGCGGGTGAAATAATGTTTTCAAATAGACAGGCAGGTGAAATTACAGGTAGGCTGGTCGGAAAGGAATTAAGTGGTTGATGTGTTCGCCATGCCTCAGCGCGGAACAGGCGTGAGTGTCGAGGCGGTAGATCCAGTTTTTTACACCAAGATGCTTGACACGCTCAAACAAACGGGCAGGTGAAAAGATGTTTGCAAGCAGACGGACAGGTGAAAACACATGGGCAGGTACAGAGGGGCGGGCAGCATCGGTCACGACAGTGGGAGCGGCCAGCAGCAACGGCAAAGTTTGCCAATGTGCTTTAACATCCGATGCGGCATTGTGCCTTGATGATACTTTTGAGTCCACCCTCCCTTCCCCCATTTCTTCCCTTGTCCAGGCCTGAGATGGTGGTTGGCTGGTACCACTCAAACCAGGCTTCAGCTGTTGGCTGTCTCTCTCTCTGTCCCTTGCTTCCTAATGCACGCACCCTCTCCCCTCCGCTCCTCCTTTTCCCTTCTCCCTTCTCTTCTTCCCTTCACCAGGCCTGAAATGGTGGTTGGCTGGTACCACTCGCATCCAGGCTTTGGCTGCTGGCTCTCAGGCGTCGACATCAACACACAGCAGGTATGCTCGTTCAGCTATAGCAACTTTTGGCATTCGTATCTGTCATAATATACATACACTGGCTGTTCGTAGCTGGCTCTAAGGCACGGGCATCAAACCAAACCAGGCAAACCTGGGGGATGAGGAGGGGCTGTTGGGTTTTCCAACAGTATGTCCGCGCCCTCTTCTCCGCTCTGCTTCTCTGCCTTTTGAGTCGACTCAAAAGTCACCTCTTTTCCAACAGTATGTCCGCGCCCTCTTCTCAGCACTGCTTCTCTGTTCGTGCACATCCGTGCATGGATGTGGAAAAGCCCAGGCTTCTCCGTGCCCGTGAACAGAGAAGTCGGTCTTCTCCTCTCTGCTTCTCTGACTTTTGAGTCGACTCAAAAGTGAACAGAGAAGTCGGTCTTCTCCGCTCTGCTTCTCTGTTCAGCCCAAGCCCATTTGGGGCATGGTTTTCAATTGACGCCTTTTGCCTTACCACTCCCTCTTCCACTCCTCCCTCCCACCCTCCTCCTCCCCCTCCCATCAGAGCTTCGAGGCACTGTACCAGAGGGCAGTGATTTTTGAGGCGCCTCAAAAAAGCTTCTGCCACTGTCGCCACGGCGGTGACGGCGGTGGTCCCCTTTCAGCCAGTCAAGCGCAAAGTAGTGGTCACTGACGTCGTGTCTTTTGAGTCGACTCAAAAGTGATGGTGGTGGAACCCATTCAGCCAGTCAAGTTGACTTTTGAGTCGACTCAAAAGTCAACTCGCGAGTTTTGAGTCGACTCAAAAGTGATGGTGGTGGAACCCATTCAGCCAGTCAAGCGCAAAGTGGTGGTCGTTGACATCTTTTGCCTCATCAACGCCTCCACCACTCCTCCATCTTTCCCTTCTCCTTTCTCTCTCTCTCTTCCCTCCCTTCTCCCCTCTCCGTCCCCACCTCTTTCCCCATCAGGGCTTCGAAGCCCTGAACCAGCGGGCAGTGGCAGTGGTGGTGGGTCCGATTCGGTCCGTCAAGGGCAAGGTGGTCATTCACGCCTTTCATGCTTTCAACCCCACTTCCTCTCCTATCACCCTCCTCCACCTCCCATCAGAGCTTTGAGGCGCTGAACCAGCGGGCGGTGGCGGTGGTGGTGGATCCTATTCAGTCAGTCAAGGGCAAGGTGGTCACCTCCCACTTCCCTTTGCCGCTGCCCCCTTCCATCAGAGCTTTGAGGCGCTGAACCAGCGGGCAGTGGCTGTCGTGGTGGATCCTATTCAGTCAGTCAAGGGCAAGGTGGTGATCGACGCCTTCCGGCTCATCAACCCACAGACTATGATGCTGGGGCAGGAACCGCGCCAAACCACCTCTAACCTCGGTCATCTCCACAAGCCGTCCATCCAGGTATGAGAGTCTTGAGCGGCTGGTTTGACTGTGACAGACGCCAGCAGGCCACGCCTGGGCTGTCAGTCAAGGGCAAGGTGGTCATCAGCGCGTTCTGCCTCATCAACCCACAGACCATGATGCTGGGGCAGGAACCGCGCCAAACCACCTCTAACCTCGGTCATCTCCACAAGCCGTCCATCCAGGTATGAGAGTCTTGAGCGGCTGGTTTGACTGTGACAGACGCCAGCAGGCCACGCCTGGGCTGTCAGTCAAGGGCAAGGTGGTCATCAACGCGTTCTGCCTCATCAACCCACAGACCATGATGCTGGGGCAGGAACCGCGCCAAACCACCTCTAACCTTGGTCATCTCCACAAGCCGTCCATCCAGGTATGAGAGTCTTGAGCGGCTGGTTTGACTGTGACAGACGCCAGCAGGCCACGCCTGGGCTGTCAGTCAAGGGCAAGGTGGTCATCAACGCGTTCTGCCTCATCAACCCACAGACCATGATGCTGGGGCAGGAACCGCGCCAAACCACCTCTAACCTCGGTCATCTCCACAAGCCGTCCATCCTGGTATGAGAGTCTTGAGCGGCTGGTTTGACTGTGACAGACGCCAGCAGGCCACGCCTGGGCTGTCAGTCAAGGGCAAGGTGGTCATCAACGCGTTCTGCCTCATCAACCCACAGACCATGATGCTGGGGCAGGAACCGCGCCAAACCACCTCTAACCTCGGTCATCTCCACAAGCCGTCCATCCTGGTATGAGAGTCTTGAGCGGCTGGTTTGACTGTGACAGACGCCAGCAGGCCACGCCTGGGCTGTCAGTCAAGGGCAAGGTGGTCATCAGCGCGTTCTGCCTCATCAACCCACAGACCATGATGCTGGGGCAGGAACCGCGCCAAACCACCTCTAACCTCGGTCATCTCCACAAGCCGTCCATCCAGGTATGAGAGTCTTGAGCGGCTGGTTTGACTGTGACAGACGCCAGCAGGCCACGCCTGGGCTGTCAGTCAAGGGCAAGGTGGTCATCAACGCGTTCTGCCTCATCAACCCACAGACCATGATGCTGGGGCAGGAACCGCGCCAAACCACCTCTAACCTTGGTCATCTCCACAAGCCGTCCATCCAGGTATGAGAGTCTTGAGCGGCTGGTTTGACTGTGACAGACGCCAGCAGGCCATGCCTGGGCTGTCAGTCAAGGGCAAGGTGGTCATCAACGCGTTCTGCCTCATCAACCCACAGACCTTTGGTGCAGGAACCGCGCCAAACCACCTCTAACCTAGGCCATCTCCACAAGCCGTCCATCCAGGTATGTGGACTCTTATCCTCCAGCCACTCTCGGCCTCATCAACCCTCATATTATGATGCTGAGGCAGGAACCCCGCCAAACCACTTCCAACCTTGGGCATTTGCACAAGCCGTCCATCCAGGTACGGAGTCATATGGTCCTGGCTTGACTGTGATAGGTGGATGTGCAACACGGTATCCATCCATCGACGCCTTCCGTCTCATCAACCCACAGACCATGATGCTGGGGGGGCGCTACTACTCCATCGGTATCAACTACCGCAAGAACGAGCTGGAGGAGAAGATGCTACTTAACCTGCAGAGAAAAAGCCTTCCCCCTTTCCCTTTCACCTCCCTGCTGTCCCAATCCGCCCCTCCCTCCTTCCCCCTTTCTGTTCCCGTTTCCGCCCCTCCCTTCCCTCATCTCCCTGCTCCTTGCCTCCTTGCAATCCCTCCACAGGCGCTTATTCACGGCCTCAACAGACACTGCTACTCCATCGGAGCCTCAACTAGGAAGAGCAGAAATGAACCTCGTTTTTCTCTCTTTGCCCTTCTTATATCCCACAGGCGCTGATTCATGGGTTGAACCGGCACTACTACTCCGTCGGCATCAACTACCGCAAGAACGAGCTGGAGGAGAAGATGCTGCTCAACCTGCACAAGAAGAATTTTCCTCCTTTCCCTCTTCCGCCCTCCCCTTTCCCCTTTTCTGCCCTCTCTTTCCACCATTTCGCCCTCCCCTTTCGCCTGCTTCTTCCCTCCCTTATTTCTCTGGTCCCGTCTCCTCAACCCCCCCCCCCCCCAACAGGCCCTTATCCACGGCCTCAACCGGCACTACTACTCCATCGGCATCAACTACCGCAAGAACGAGCTGGAGGAGAAGATGCTGCTGAACCTGCACAAGAAGAAGTGGGCACACGGGCTGACGCTGCAGCCCTTCGAGAGCCACAACAAGAAGAACGAGCAGATCGTGCAGGTGAGGCCTTCAGCCCAGCACAACGATAGGAAGGAGGAGATAGTGCAGGTGATTCTTTGAGTGTAACAGGCACTAGAACGAGCAGATTGCTGTAACTGGAAGGCGGTGGTGTTAGAACGAGCTGGAGGAGAAGATGCTGCTGAACCTGCACAAGAAGAAGTGGGTGCATGGGCTGACCCTGCAGCCGTTTGAAAGCCACAACAGGAAGAACGAACAGATCGTGCAGGTGAGGCCTTGAGCCCAGCACAACGATAGGAAGGAGGAGATAGTGCAGGTGAATCTTTGAGTGTAACAGGCACTAGAACGAGCAGATTGCTGTAACTGGAAGGCGGTGGTGTTAGAACGAGCTGGAGGAGAAGATGCTGCTGAACCTGCACAAGAAGAAGTGGGTGCATGGGCTGACCCTGCAGCCGTTTGAAAGCCACAACAGGAAGAACGAACAGATCGTGCAGGTGAGGTGTTTGGTGGGTAAGCCACTCAACAGATACTGTGTCAGAAGGGACAAGGTGTTAGAAGAAGTGGGTGCATGGGCTGACCCTGCAGCCGTTTGAAAGCCACAACAGGAAGAACGAACAGATCGTGCAGGTGAGGTGTTTGGTGGGTAAGCCACTCAACAGATACTGTGTCAAAAGGGACAAGGTGTTAGAAGAAGTGGGTGCATGGGCTGACCCTGCAGCCGTTTGAAAGCCACAACAGGAAGAACGAACAGATCGTGCAGGTGAGGTGTTTGGTGGGTAAGCCACTCAACAGATACTGTGTCAAAAGGGACAAGGTGTTAGAAGAAGTGGGTGCATGGGCTGACCCTGCAGCCGTTTGAAAGCCACAACAGGAAGAACGAGCTGCTCAACAGGGCATGCTAGAGTTGGCCCAGAAACACAAGGCCGTACAGGAGGAGGATGCTTTTGAGTCGACTCAAAAGCATGCTAGAGTTGGCCCAGAAACACAAGGCCATACAGGAGGATACTTCCCTCTTCTCCCTCCCCCCCTCCCCGACCCCCAACCTGCTTCCACCTTCCTCTCCCCCCCTCCACCCCCTTCCCTCTTCCCTCTTCCCTCTTCCCCAAGCCCATACCGAACAGGACATGTTGGAGTTGGCTTAGAAGTACAACAAGGCCGTGCATGAGGAGGATACGCTGTTCCCTCTTCTTGCCCCCCCCTTCCCCAACCCTCTTCCCCTTTTCCCCTTCCCTCTTCCTCTGCCCCCATTCCCCCTTCCCTCGTCCCCAACGCCCCTACTCAACAGGACATGTTGGAGTTGGCTCAGAAGTACAACAAGGCAGTACAGGAGGAGGATACATTGTTCCCTCTTCTCCCTTCCTCCTCCTTCAACCCCCTTTCACTCTCCCCCTCTCACTTTTCCTCCCAACACCTGTCCTCAACAGGACATGTTGGAACTAGCTCAGAAGTACAACAAGGCAGTACAGGAGGAGGATACATTGTCGACTGAGAAGTTTGCGATTGCGAGTGTGGGGAGGCAGGACGCAAAGAAGCACCTGGAGGAGCATGTGTCGACACTCATGTCGTCCAATATCGTGCAGACACTAGGCACGATGCTGGACACTGTCGTGTTTTAGACTACAATTCTCTTTGCGTGAATATGAATAATGGTTTATGGATGTGCAATGACAACTAATCGTTACCTGCTTGTCAATCATTTTGATTCGCTTGGTTAGAAAACGTGTAACCTAACTCAATATCCAAATTTTGAGGGTGTTTTCATAGAGCGGTATGCGGTGTACTTATCAGCTTTCTCCAAACCCAGGACCAGGACTCCGACCCGAGTGCTCTCCCCTGAAATCACCTCCCTGCGCACATTCGCTGCGATGCTGCGCGCGCTGGTAGGCTGCTGCATCCGATTGGCGGAATGACGACGGCGCTTGAAACTGACGGCCGCAACCCAGGAAATAGAAAAAGCCCATGAATGCTTAAGACCATTCCGAACCATACTATTCTCTTTTTGAACGGCTCTGAAGTAAGAATGAAACGTACTATTTTGAATTCGTACAGCGTCCTACTGGCCTGATCTGATCTAAGGTGGCTGGCTATCATTGTGTGAAGACTGGTAGTTTATGTTGGGCGGATTAGGTAACGCTGGTATTGTCATGCGATTGGCGCAATGATGGTTGCGC